CTTAAACCTTAGACCCCTAAACCCTAGTCCCTAAATCTTAAACCTTAGACCCCTAAACCCTAAACCCTAAATCTTCAACCTTAGACGCTAAACCCCTCATCCCCTGAACCCAAACCCCAAAAAGGCCCAGGGCAAATTTCGGGCCCCGGGGTTTCCATTCGGGTCAAAGGAACCTGCGCCTCGAAGCCAGTGAGTTACATTGGAGAGAGGTATGTGGTTTAGGGTTTAGGGTTTAGGGTTTAGGGTTTAGGGTTTAGGGTTTAGGGTTTAGGGTTCATGTACATGTATGTTTTATGTGATCGTTTGCTTTTATTTGTACAATACAGCAGCTACAGCATATCTATGACACGGTTTACTTCTACCAGAACTGGAACGAGATCGAGATGTTCCGCCAGTACCGGTATGAACGAACGCGACGGGAGCATCGCTAGGAAATGGCACTTATAGCCAATGAAACAAATCAATGCAGCGGCTCACATACATATACACAGACATGGACATATACATATAGATGTAGGTACATGCCTGCATCGATGCATACATACTTAGTTGTTGATTGACGCCTTGCATGCAGTGTGCAGGCTGGCACCTTCGTCGCCAGCGGTGTCGCGCAGCCCAGCTTCACAGCCTCCGGAAGTCACTATGAGGTTCTTCGCAGAGTTGCGTTCGGACTTCCAGCGGCGTGTTCGCAACGAGTGCCGAGGCACCCACGGATTGAACCAGTGGTGAGCTAAAGTTCGATAATTACCTGAAATCAAGAGCCCTGAAAGCACTAAACCCTAAACCCTAAACCCTAAACTTTAAACCTTAAACATTAAACTTTAAACGCTAAACCCTAAACCCTAAACGCATGCATGATCTTGCCAGGCTGCCCTGCAGATGACGCTGCCAACCTCCTTGCCAAGACCCGAGCTTTTGGATGGCACCTGCATGCGCCAGTCGAGTCGCACTACGTCCAAGATGTTTTAGATTCAGTTGAGGGTTTAAAGGCGGAAGAATCATGCTCTATTCTGGAATTCCGTCCCCAAAAACATGATTGGATTGCTCTTTTTGAACCTGATGCCACACAGAGAAGGGCATCTCTAGACTGAGAAGAGCAGTTTTGCGATATGGGTAGTTCTCTAAATTAGTGTCCCTTTTTAGGTCCCCAATATAGTGCGGCACCCTTATAAAATGGACCCTAAAAGGGACCCTAATCTAGAGAACAGCCCATATTATCGGGTTTAAACCACGGGGTACATTCGCTGGGGAAGGAAGGGGTAACCGGTATTGAGAGCTCTGGCTACTCTACCATTCTGTATGATGAGAATCATTCTACCAATGGATCGTCTCGCAGATGTCCTCATGTGCACAGCTGCCCCTCCCGAATTGAGCCCTGTTTAATAAGACTGGGTAGATCTCCGAGCAAGCATGCAGGGAAGTCGTGCGGCATGGCATGACTTCTCGGAACCAGCCTGAACCTAAACCCTAAATCCAAAGTCTTCAGCCCGACCTAAACCAAAAGAGAACTAAAACCGAAGCCGCAGACCCTCACCTTTGTTCACAGATCGGGAGAACTGCGCTTCGTGGCCATCGCGCGGACCACCTCAGGCGATCTGCCCAGACGTTTGAGGAATTAGGGTTTTGGGTTTAGGGTTCGGGGTTGCTATGCACATGTACACTTGCGCTATGAATCAGACACATAATGAGTGTCATCACCGTAGTGCACAGTATGACATGATACCATTTCCGTATTACATAATGTATAGTATGATAACGCTATGTATAAGACAGGACAAGATTCATTCTCTTATCTCATCACGGCCTGGGACCCCTTCACCGTAACCGCGTCTTCCTTGAACCCTAAGCCCTAAGCCCTAAACCCTAAACCCTAAACCCTAAACCCTAAACCCTAAACCCTAAACCTTAGTAGACGAGTTCTCCGAGACGAGGTGGGGCCGGAGAGCTTTCCATCGATTCAGTTTGCCTTGGGGGCTTGGGGTCCGGGGCTGTGGGATTAGAAATGAGGGTGAATTTGGGTGTTATGGTTTTCGGTTGGAGGCTTTGGTTTAGGGTTTAGGGTTTATTAAACCCCAAACCCTAAACCCTTGTTTTGGGTTTAGGGTTTGGGCAGCCGACGATTGAAGCAGGACGTGCCATGGCGGCAAGCGCGAGAATTTCGAGGCGCAAAGCCGCGCTTCTGTGACCGTTGCAAAATCGGAGCCTTTATAGAATAGTTAGTGGTCCTATTTCAAAAGGTTGCTCATAAACAGTTATTAGAAAACGCACCACAATGCCGTATTCAAATCTAAAGCTCACGACTGCTTGTGTGTGGTGGTGGTGGCGGTGGTGGTGGTGGTGGTGGTGGTGGTGGTGGTGGTCTCGTCGTAGTCGTCGTCGTCGTCGTCGTAGGAGCTGTAGTAAGAGTAGTGGTAGTGGTAGTAGTAGTAGTAGTAGTAGTAGTAGTGGTAGTAGTAGTAGTAGTAGTAGTAGTAGTAGTAGTAGTGATCGTAGTCGTAGTAGTCGTTATAGTAGTTGTCAGTATCCGAATGAGTATCAGTGTCAGTGTCGTATCATTTTCAGTATCGGTAGTAGGGTGTGAACCCTAAACCCCTAAACCCTAAACCCTAAACCCTAAACCCTAAACCCTAAACCCTAAACCCTAAACCCTAAACCCTAAACCCTAAAACCCTAAACATGTCAAGGAGTCTTCAGCTTCCCTACAATCTTTCCGCGAGCTTCTCCGCTGAGGAGGCGGATGTGGGATGAGGGTCTTTGAGCAGTGTGGAGCTACCGCCTAGGAATTTCGACTTAGGGTTTCAGGCTTTCGGTTTCAGGGGTTTGAGGCTTTATGTTTATGGTTTCCAGTAACATGATGTCCCAAGATCGCTTCCAACAGTATATGCAGTTTGCAGTCTTTAGCCGCTACTCGCGGTCGTCCTAGCGCCAAGAGTTTGGGGCTTGACCCCGAAGCCCAGACTGGAACCCTAAACCATAAACCCTCAACTTTAAACCTAAAACCTCAAATCCTAAAACCCTACACCCTAAACCCTAAACCCTCAACCCTACACCTTAAACCCTACACCCGAAACCCAAACCCCCAACCCTACACCTTAAACCGTACACCCTAAACACTTAACCTTACACCTTAAACCCTACACCCTGAACCCCAAACTCTACACCGTACACTTTAGGGGAGCTTCTTCGTTGGACGTGTGAAGAGATCAGAAACGTTCAACCAGATGTCAACCAGATGGCCGGTGGTTTAGGGTTTAGGGTTTAGGGTGGGAAGCGAGAAATCCCAACAGTTCGCGTGTAGCCTGAACGTCAGTCCGAAGCTTAGGCCCTAAACCCAACCAAGACGGCTTGGGGTTTAGGGTTTAAGGACGTTCAGGTGTAGTAGAGACGAGAACAAACCCGTTACAATCATTCCATAATAAACAATCCACAGACTGAAAGAAACACTTAGACCGTAGACCCTTAAACCCTAAACCCTAAACCCCTTAAACCCTGGACCCCAAAATTCTCTCCCAAAGAGGGCGCCTTGGGGTGAGGTGAAGCCCGGCGTGCAGCTTGCGGTGCAGCTGGAGGTGATGTCACTGCAGGATGTTTTTTTTTTGTTTTTTTTTTGGGGGGGGTTCGGGTTTAGGGGTTCGGGATTCGGTTTAGGTCTGAGAGTTTAGCAGCCCAGAACCCTAAACTCTTAAACACTTAGCCCCCCGAGACCCCGAACTCCAAACCCTAAACGTCCCAGGGATTCTGACGCTCCCAAGGCCCTCGACCCTAAACCCCGAGTGCTAGTTTCCTTAAATTCCCAAAATCCAGCCCTAACGCCCGAGCCCCGGTTTAGGGTTTAGGGCCCTAAACCCTAGACCCTAAACCCTAAACCGTTTAGGGTTTCGGGTTTAGAGCCCCTCAACCGCAACGGCAAGACGGCCACGAGGCTGCAGCCCTGTCTTCAGGCACGACCCCGCGGGCGCGGCGCTCAATAGCTGAAAGTGGTTCTTTAAGAGGTTCCTGAAAGTTGTCTAGGTCCTTTTGCTGGGTATAGGAGTAAATGGTCACAGTATTCTCCTTGAGGGTTCTTTCAGGGTTCGCAAAGGATTATAAAGCAGTCGTTCACGGGTCCGTGGAAGGGTTTAGGAATAATTGGTGACAGTATCCCTTCCAGTCGCGTTAATGCATCTGATCATCTGTACTATAATTCCAGTAACTAGAGCAAGGCTTGTGCTAATCATGATGGTGATAATGAGCTGGTAAAGCATTGTTCGGTTTATGGCAAGCTTTAATTCGCGGCAAAATGTTGTAGAACGTAATGTCTTCGTATTTGGGTTTTCCACGGTATTACTGTAGCATCCTTTGTTAAGACCACCAATGGTCGGGTACGGTGTTGCTAGTGGTTCTACTACGTTCCACGACGACTGCTACAACGACGACTGCAGCTGCTGCTGCTGCTACTACTACTACTACTACTGCTACTGCTGGCACCTACTTCTTCTTCTACTACTACTACTACGACTGCTACTGCTACTACTACTACTACTACTACTACTACTACTACCACTACCACTTCTACTACTACTACTACTACTACTACTACTACTACCACTCCTCTACAGCAACAACAACTACTACGACCACCACTACTACTACCACCACTTCTGCTACCACTACCACTACCACTGCTACTACTACTACTACTACTACTACTATTACTACTACTACTACTACTACTACGACTACGACTACGAGTGCTACTACTACTACTACTACTACTACCACTACCACTACCACTACCACTACCACTACCACTACTACTACTACTACGACGACAACGANNTACTACTACTACTGCTGCTACTACGATAGACAGTACTTCTACAACTAGCTGTTTTCCTCAGTGACAATCCTGAGGCCGTCCACGCATTCGTGACGCAGAGGGCCGAGTTTCGTGTTTACACTGTTTTCAAGTCTCAAAGCATACTCCCGCGATAACACATATAGGAGGCTCAGCAAATGGAATGGGGTTTTGGGCCCCTCATGTTGTGTTTGTATCAGGGACTATAAGGGCAGAATATTCCTCATTATTCCGATCCCTACAGTGGTGACTTGGGTTTGGAGTTTGGAGTTTAGGGATCCCAAACTTACGCCAAATGTGAGTGCTTTGGGTCTTAGATCCTTGAGAATCCGAGAGGGGTCAAACTCATCAGGGCTTTGAGCTTAGGGATTATAGGGTATAGGATTTAGGGATTAAATAGGGTCATGAGCCACGAGTATCATGGTCCGGCTAAATCATTAGGGTTACGTCTTACCAGGGATTAAGGTATGCTTAGCGCCTGGGGTTCACAGATAGTTTGTATAAATTCGGGTAGTTGCACTTACCGGCTACCAGCCCCAATTGAGGTACGTAGAACCAGGTTTTTGGCCGCCAGACCCCAAATCCTGGCCGACTCATGTGCGACCGAACCCTAAGCCTAAACCCTAGACCCTAGACCCCAAACCCTAAACCCCTAAACCCTTAAACCCTCAAACCCTTAACCCCGAATCCCGAACCCCAAACCTCAAACCCCAAACCCACACATCCTCAGGTCGCTGGACCGCTCGGCCGAGCTCTTGGGGACAAGAGCTGCCATTGGCAAGCCGCAGGCTTAGAGAATGGAGCGCTTAGGGTTTAAGCTTCCAAGTTCAAGGTTTAGAGGCTAATCTTTAGGGTTTCGGTTCTCGGGTTTAAGGCTGTAGGTTTAGGGTTTACGGTTCAGGCTTTAGGCTTACTGATTACCGTTTTTGTTTAGTGACTGCAGCTCACCCTTCGGCATGTATTCCCCCGACCGTAGGCGTGCCATCCTTACTTAAGCATTGAGACTACAGAACCCCGAAGCTCTGTGCGCGGATGCTTTCGTCAAGTCGGCCGAGGCCCTCGCTGTTGGCCGCTTTGGAACGAGCAGCAGATGGGGCAGCCGCGACTCCGGTATCGGGCAGGACACCCACGGCGCACTCTTGGGGTTGGTGTTTTGTTTTTGGTTCTCATTTGGTGCCATTGCAGTGCTGTTGAGTAGAGTCGGAGCATGACCTCATGCCGTTCTTTCGGCTCTCGTTGCTTTGTGCTTTACCCGTTATGCTGACAAAGAGGAGCTGTGTTCCCTGCCGACCCATCTTAATGTAGAAGCCGAAAGGGTTTCAAATACAATTCCTCACAGTTCCTTATGGTACCCTAAACCCTAAACCCTAAACCCTAAACCCTAAACCCTAAACCCTAAACCCGATGGCATAGTATCCTCCACAGCCCTAGAGCCTATTCTGCCTGTTCAGACCGCTATGCCATCTCCGTCATTGCTCATCCCGGTAAATCACGTTTCAGTCGTTGCGGCTGAGCAGGAAGCAGTGTGGTTATGCTGCAAATGCAAAGCATTCCTCAACTCTCTGTCCTAAAACCCCAAACCCTAAACCCGAAACCTTGTAACACCCTTGTAACAACCCCCTCTTAAATCCTAAACCCTGCACCCTGACCCCTAAACCCTAAACTCAAGCCCTACGCTTAAAATCCCTAAACCCTAAACCCTAAACCTTGGAAAAAAGCCCTGGCCTCATTTCAGGGTTCTGCTTACTGAAACCCTAACTCTTCGGTTCATCGGAGCCTGGTCAGGATTTGGAGGTACTGCAGCCCGGGGCCTTTGCAGGGTTTTCATGGGAGGTTGGGTTCAGAGTTGGGGTGCATAGGCTTTTTGTTGAAGAAAGCCTAGGGTTTAGGTTTTTTTAGATAACCTATGGTTCAGGATCGGTTGGGGTTTGGGGTTTCAGCTTTGGTTTAGGTTTAGGGGTTTTGTTCGGTCTTTGGGTTTAGGGTGGGTCTAGGGGTTTCGGCGTCTAGCAAGGGTTTAGGATTCTTAAGTTAGGGCTTTGGAAGGTTTTTTTTCCACAAGGGGCTTGAAAAGTGCCTGATAGGGTTTAGGGTTTAGGGCTTAGGGTCTAGGGTTTAGGGTTTAAGGCGTGAGTGTGCTCAGATTGGTACTAGGGGCGTAGGGGGTAGGGCAGTGTTTGTAGTAGCTGTAGTCTCGCATATCACAAAATCTTGTTCCAGTTCTTTCGGGCTTTCACTTAAGGTTAATGCAGGGGCCTTAATAAGTAGAAAGGGTTTTGGGGGTTCCTTATTGTAATTTTAGTGTAACAGACCCCCAACCCTATTGAAATAATTAAGGCTTCTACATTGGCGGATTATGCTTCGAAGGTGAGTCGCACCCCTTGAGACATGGAACTGAGCCCTGGGGCCTGTGGCAGGGCCTTGCATGGTAAGCTGCAGGGGCCCACAGATAAGTCTGCATCAGCTCTTTGCAGGGATATTCTTGCTGCTTTGGGCCCGAAGCTGTCCCCCGAGGTGTTCATGGTGACGATTTGATGGCCGGGATCTTGACGTTCTCGCTGCGCACCCCACGCTTCAACCAGCACTGGAAACAAACCCGTGCAGATCCCCCGTGCTTCATTGGTGAAAGCCGTGGGCCTCATTGATCAGTATCTTAGTCCTGTCTCTCTTTTCGTAGACCCTATATACCTGCAGTTAGTAGTATCGAAGCTGAGCCCTAAATCCTCACCCCTATGCTAGCTGCTAGCTGTGAGAGTGATGTTGGTCGGCGCAAGGTGGTCGCGGAGCTGCCAGAGAAGGTTCAGGCAGTCCGGTTGCCGAGTCGAGTGGCATTTCTTTGTCTGGCTTTCAGGGCTTCAAGGTTCCCTAAATTTTAGATTCTAAACCTAAACCTTAAACTGTTCAGGCTTTGGTACTGGGGGTTCACGATTTTGGGTTTAGGGTTTGGGGAGGTTGGGGCTTTTGGGGCTCGGTGTTTGTCAACTTCCCCAAAGCTCCGAACGCCAAAGGATCCTTGGCTTTGTCTTTTGTACCTGTTTATTGCAATGACTTGTCTAGGCCCGGCGGCTCCAAGCAGCCTTTCCTCATTCAGATGGCCGAACCAAGAGCTTGCAATAATTAGTCGGAATGGTCCCGGCAGAAATACACAGATACATACACTGATACATGCACAGATACGTACATACATACATACATACATACATACATACATACATACATGCATACATACATGCCATACATAGCATACATACCATATATACCATACATACATACCATACATACATATCATACATACATACATACATACATGCATGCATACATACATACATACATACATACATAAATACGTACATACATACATACATACATACCTACGTACATACATACATGCACACATGCACACATGCGTACATGCATACATGCATGCATGCATGCATGCATACATACATACATACATACATACATACATACATACATACATACATGACGTACATGGCATACATGACATACATGACATACATGCAGCATGCATGCAGGCATGCATGCATGCCTACCTACTACCTACCTACCTACCTACCTACCTGCCTGCCTGCCTGCCTGCCTGCGTGCCTGCCTACCTACCTACCTACCTACCTACCTACCCACCTACCTACTTACCGGCCTACTTACCTACCTGCCTACCTACCTACCTACCTACCTACCTACCTACCTACTTACCTACCTGCCTACCTACCTACCTACCTACCTACCTACCTACCTACCTACCTACCAAAGTATGTGGACCCAGGATGAAGTTCACCAGCAAGTTGATGGAGCTTCGAGGAGACGGCAGATTGTAGCT